TAAAATAGATAAAAAATAATGTATTAATATTGATTTCTAGGCCCGACTAGGCGCATATGCGCTAGTCGAGCGCCTAACGACTTTTAGAACATATGTAGATAATTATTGCCAAAATAGTGTGGATTGCATCAAATTAAATATGCATTGTGTACGAAAAAATTCGTTCTACCTAATTATATCAAATTGAACAATGTCATAACGATGTTTTTACCCGTTAGATCAACGTATCCTCACATGAATACGTGTATATATAAGAGATTGTGTATGATTCAACAAATTAATGCTAAAACACTCGAACTTATATGGCTTATATCATGGACCATTTTGAAAACGTTATTGTCAAAAAATAAATTAAAGAGAAATGTTAAATATATATATATACAAACTGGGTGGAAAAAAAAAAAAAACGGTGAGAATGTTCCTAGAATGTAGAAATTGAATATGACTAAGAAATAATTATTACATGAGCCCCGATTAAATTCAAATTTTGCCAATTAATTTCAGCACGAAAAGATTCTGTGTCCGGCGAATCTTGACAAGGTTGGAACCTTAGCTTATCTTAAGATACGCCAGCTGTCAGCGTGCTATCTTAATAAGCACGTTTAAATAATCCAACATGTGTGTGTGTGTGTGTGTGTGATTAGTGCATTGAGACTTGAGAATGAACATAATTATAACCTAACATATACAAGATTAAAATGTTCTTAATGAACTTGGTTATAGTATAAAATTTATTAGTGTGTGTAGCGTAGATGTAGAGCTGTAAACGAGCCAAGTCAACCTCGAGCTTATGGTGCTCGAGCTCTTAACGAGTCGAGCCGAGCTCTCGGCTCGTTAAGTAAACGAGCCAAAATTCGAGCTCGAGTCGATCTCGAGTTTTAACGAGCCAAAATATAAAAAAATATATATATAAAAGTTCTATTTTCGAGCCTTATCGAGCCCAGCCAGGCTCGTTTAATTTAACAGCACTACGTAGATGTAGCTATTGTTAAAGTTGTTTAACGAAACGAGTCACTCGACTCGACTCAGCTCGTTTGATAAATAAGTTGAGCTCGAGCTCGTATAGTTAACGGACCAAGAATTTTTACCCTTTTTTTTGTATTTTTTACATCAGCTTGCTTTAAACTCGAGTTTGACTCGTTATATTGATCATAAATGAATCAAACTTGAACTCGTTTAATCACCAAGTCCGACTCAATAGAGCCTAAGCATCAAAAGCCCGAGCTCAGCTAAACTCGCTTACACCTCACAATCTGTTAGTACAATGTACGTACAATTAAATCTCGAATTTTGAGGCAATAATATATAATTGACGGCAGCTACTTAATTAAATTTGTCTATAGTACCTACAGCATTTTAATATTAAAATTAACAAAAAATTATTAGTATCTCATTTGTCTCACCTTCGTACAAATCTCGAGTGTTTTTAATAAATGCAAATATTACTATTATTTTTAAATTATACACATTGCTACATATTTATGACATGATTGATTATCCCTGCAAAATTAATGTGACAATCATCAATAATGGCATAGAATTTGTAATTAGATTACGTAACAAGATTACAATTGATTCTTCTAAGCTATATATGCACGCGGTTGACTGATGTCCACACTACACTACACAGCACATTAATCAAAACATCTAATTATTATTTTAATTATTAATGTTTTAATTGTTATATCTTACTAGTACATACCCCGTGCAATGCACGTGATACATATAATAAATCAATTATTTCTATAGGACTTGTACGTCTAGACAAAAAAACAATAGGCTTGGATCATTCATATTTCACATCTTTTAATAAGTGGCGTTTATTTAAGCCAAAAAATTAACATGTTAATTAATATATAATTCCGCTAACACGTCATACTAATATTTATTTGATTATAGAATACATATTTATTCATTTATATAAGAAAAAATAAAAATTTTATTTATTCTCGTTCACAATATAATACTCAATTATTATTTTATTATAAAATATATAGTCATATAATGTCATTATTATTATTAATAAAAGTTGTAGAAGTAGTCTTCTTTATGTAATGAAATTCAAAATAAAATTTCGAGTATAAATGTTTACAAAATACACACATGTTTTTTAGAATTCAATTTTCTCATAATAATTCTTTTTTTTTTTTAAAATGATTTAGCAATTGCCAAAAAATAAATCCCTTACATAATCAAGAGATTTTTTCTAATTTTCATCCTAAGGCTTTATAGTTTATTTAACATGTTATGCAATAGAAAATATTTTACAATAAGTTCATTTTTGAAACATAACAAAAAAAAAGTGATAAAAAACATTATCATAGTTGACAATAATATACAAATAAATAACATGTCGAAATTTTAAAGAATAACTAATATAATTTTATTATCTAACCATCAATAAACTCATTTAATGATTTGATAATTATCCTTTAAATGATAAATAATATTATTTTTTTTAAAAAAATATTAGTTTTATATAATTAAATAAAGTTTAAAAAATATTACTCGACAAATATTAATTATAATGGATATCAGTGAAATCATTGCATAAATTATTTAAGGAAAAAATCTTTAAGATCTTATATCTGGATAGTAAATGTAAATATGCAAACATTTAATGCATATAGTAAAAGTATTCCAAATAAGATTTGCATTAAATGTGTGTTGACTTTTCTTGCTACTATTTTTAGTAAATAGGTTGGCTTTTAATATATATATATAGATATAGATATATATATATATAGATAGATAGTAGTAAGTATCTAAATTAATTATTTTATATTCATGGTCATTGAATAAAATAATGTTAATGTGGGCTATTTTTTTTTTTTACCTCTTATTAATGGCCTACATTTTTTTTTTTTGGTGCAAAAAAGATATTCAAATAAACTAGTCTAGAACTCGACGTGGGTATGAGACCCCAACATTATAATGCTCAAGCCATGGACGAACTCCATGAGGCGGTGAGGAGAAACGATGCAATCCAACCGGAAAGGATGCCGCCAAGCTCGCCAAATGATCCGCTGCAAAATTCGCTTCTCTATGTACATGTTGTACACGTACTATTCACTCCCGCTGCAGTAGCTCATGAATAGCCTTGACCATAGCTCCATGCGCCCCCAATCCACCATTCTCATTCGTCAGCATCCTCGTAACACATTTGCTATCAAGTTCAACGTCGAAATCCCGAGTCCCACGTCAGTAAAAGCCCCTGGAAAAGTCCCCATAGCTCGGCTCCCGTGATGGCCTACATTGAAGTAGGTTCACTTCACATTGTCTTGATTTCTAATTAAATTTACAATTCTAAAATTCATTAGAATTCGCTTTTTAGAAATTTACGAATTTATATTTATTTAATTCCCAATTTTTTTAAGTTTTTCAAAAAATTTGAAGTATTCATTTGAAATTTTAAAAAAACACTAGTACGGCACACGTGTACTACACCGTGCATGAAAAAATAATTTCAACAACAAAAAGTAAAATTTTTTTATTATTATAATATATACAAAATAAATAAATAAATGGATGAAATCTCGTTAGAATATGGTGTTTGAATCTCGTTACAATTGAAGGTTTTGAAGTGGGAAGAAATTTGTTATATATTCGTAAAAAACTTGCAAACATTGTTAACTAAATTATCAAATAAAAGAATATAATAAAATTAATAGTCAAATAAAACATTGGTAAGTCAATTATTAAATAAAAGAAACATTGTTAACTTGACATTGATCCATTGTCAAATAAAAGATCTATTTTTAATTCATTTATTAAATTCAAGTGATCTTTAAGATAGAAAAATGAAATAAGGAAAAAAGGATTTGTGTGATCTTTAGGTACCGAACAAATTTGGTAATGAAAAAGAGATTGATGACACCAACGAAGTAGCTTTTTCTCTCTCTTAAAACCTCGATCCCCAATTTCTTTTCTCTGTAGCAAGCCCTAGTCCGAAACATCGCCTCCCTTTCGACCGTTGTTTTACCTCTCAACCGAGAAGGCGGCTCACGCCGGTGTGGCCAAGGGTCGTCCGACCCGCCCTCAGTCCCTCCTACCATGGAGAAGCTTCTATTCTCATTTGTCTATGGTGG